AACAGTGTAGGAGGGTTCCCCTTTCTCCACATCCTTGCCAACATCTGTCATTTCCTGACTTGTTAATTTTAACCATTCTGACTGGTATCTCATTGAGGTTTTGATTTGGATTTCCCTGATGCCGAGCGATGTTGAGCATTTTCTCATGTGTCTGTTGGCCATTTGGATGTCTTCTTTGGAAAAATGTTCATGTCTTCTGCCCATTTCTTGATTGGATTATTTGTTCTTTGGGTGTTGAGTTTGCTAAGTTCTTTATAGGTTTTTGATACTAGAAGGGTCGGACTCTTGGTTTTGGCTCAGGTAATGATCTTGGGGTCGTTGTGCTCAGCTGCTAGTCTGCTTCAGATTCTTTCTCTCTATTTCTCCCTCTCTGCCCCTCCCCCCCCAAAATAAATAAATAAATAAATAAATAAAATCTTAAAAAAAAAAACTCTAGGTAAGACAAATCAAGAAGGAAAAAAACACCAACTACCAATATCAGGAATGAAAAAGGAACATCACTACCAATCCCATAGATATTAAAAAAATAAAAAGGGATATTATGAGTAACTTTATGCCAATAAACTTGACAATTTATGTAAAATGGAAAACATCTTTGAAAAACAATACACTAAAACTGAAACAAGAAGAAATGTAACATCTGATTAGGCATATCTATTAAGTAAATTAAACTTGTTATTAAAGAAACCTGGCCACTCCAATTATCACTAGGGAATTCTTCCACAATACTTATGGAAGAACTAATACCAGTTTTTGCAGCCTTTTTCAGAGAATAGAAAAATAGGAAATGTTTCTCAAATCATTTGGGTGCTAACATAACTTCAATGGGTTATGACATCCAAACCTGAACAAGACATTATAAGAGAGGAAAAGCAGAGGCCAATCTCATTTATAAATATAGATGGGAAAATTCTAAACAAAATATCAGGAAATAAAATTCAGAAATATATAAAAATGAAATAATAAATTATGAGAAAATGTGTTATTTTAAGGATGCAAATCCAATTTAATATTTGAAAATTAATATTAGTCACATGAACAAATGAAGAAAATAGGATTATCTCAATAAATACAGAAAAAGTCATTTGATACGATTCAGCACACATTCATGGTAAAGTATTTAGCAAACTGAAAATAGAAGGGAACATTCAGACTGTATTTTAAAACCTACAGGAAAAATTATCTTTAATGGTAAATTATTGAAGTTTCCCTTAATTATCAAGAATGAGACAAGGATGCCTGCCTTTACTATTTCACTTCAGTATTATACCATAGGTCCTAACCAGTGGAATAAGGCAAAGAAAAAATAAAAGGGACAATGATTGAAAGGGGAGAAATAAGAATGTCTTTTTAAAAAAAAAATGACATGATTGTATATATAAAAAGTCATAAAGAATCTATTGATGATTATGATTAATAAATTAGGTTAGCTATTCCACTGGATATATGGTAGTATACAAATAGAAATTGTATTTCTGATAACAACAAAAATCATAAAATTTAAGATTTTGAGTATCATTTACAAAGTTTAAAAAATATCAAATATCTAGAAACAAATCTAACAACATGTGTAAGACTTATATACTGAAAAACTATAAAATATTGAGAAAAGTTAAAGTTCTAAAATAGAGGGATATATAATTTTCAATATTTGGAAGACTCAATGTTGGGAATATGTCAGTTCTCCCCAAGCACTCTATAGATGGAATAAAATCCTAAACAAAATTTCAGCAGACTTCTTTGTGAAAATCGACAAGCCAAATCTAAAGTTCATATAGAAATACAAAAGGACAATAAGAACCAAAACCATCTTGAAGAAAAAGAATAAAAGTGGAGGACTTTCTGTGCTTACGCCCCTGGCGGTTGGCAGCTGGCGCGCTCTCAACGTGCAGAACGACGCCGGCGAGTTCGTGGAGCTGCATGTACCGCGGAAATGCTCCGCCAGCAACCGCATCATCGACGCCAAGGTTCACGCGTCCATCCAGATGAACGAGGCCGAGGTTGAGAAGATGACAGGCAGGTTCAATGGACAGTTTAAAACCTACGCTGTGGGGCCATTCGCAGGACAGGTGAGCCAGATGACTCCATCCTCAAACTGGCCAACGCCAACATCGTTTCAAAGAACTTCTGAATGGAGAGGATCAGGGATGTGGGGTATTTGTAATGTGGAGGACTTACCTATCAGATAATCAAGCCTATTAAAAAGATATAGTTATTAAGACAATATGGTATTCCAGGATAAACCAAGAGAAAAACGGAAAGAAGAGTCTTGAACAGACCAATGGTCACCTGATTTATAATAAATTGACACTTCAGAAACAAACTAAATGATAGGGAATGAATCTTCTTTTCAAAAGATAGTGCATTTGGATATTTTTATGAAAAAATAATGTAACCCTAACCTCATTCATATGAAAAAAATCAAATTCAGGAAGATCATTGCTCTAAATATGAAAAGTAAAGCAATTGATTTAAAAAAATATACAAGAATATTTTCATGATCTTGGGATATATGCAAAGATTTCCTAACCATAAATGAAAAGTATTGGGGCGCCTGGGTGGCTCAGTCGTTGGGCATCTGCCTTCGGCTCAGGTCATGATCCCAGGGTCCTGGGATCGAGCCCTGCATCGGGCTCTCTGCTCGGCGGGAAGCCTGCTTCTCCCTCTGCCACTCCCCCTGCTTGTGTTCCCTCTCTCGCTGTGTCTCTCTCTTCAAATAAATAAATAAAATCTTAAAAAAATAAGAAAAGTATTGATAAATTAGACTAATGGTAAGATATTTTGTTCATCAAAGATAGCACAAGAGAGTGGAAATGCAAGCCATAAAGTGGGAGAAGATATTGCAATACATACTTCTGAAAAAGTAATTATACTCAGGATATATAAGGAACTTCTAATAATTGATAAGGAAAAAGGCAAATGTCGTAAATAGAGACAAAAGACAAGTACTTCACAAGAATGTACCCTAATGGCCATTAATCATGTGAAAAAAGTGCTCAATTTAATCAGGGAGATGTTAATTAAAGTTACAATATGTTATCACTACACATTCATCAGAGTGGTTAAAATTAAAAGACAGTATCAAATGTTGACAAGGACATGGAGCAACTGGAACTGTCTTTTTTTGCTGGTTTCAGTAAAACCACATTTGTAAACTTTTTACAATATCTGTTAAGGCTAAATATATGTGTACATCTTTGCACACAGAGGTCTGACTCCTAGGAATATATTCAACATAAATGCTCACATAGACACCAAAAGATATGTACAAGAATGTCGGTAGCAGCACTATCCAAAATATCACCAAACTGGAAAACCCCAATGTGCATCAACCAGAGAATAAATAGTAGCACAGTCATACAATAGAATAATATAAAGCACTGAGAATAAAATAAATTAGGACAATATATAACAGATGAATTTTAAAAACATAATGTTGAGTAAAAGAAGCCAAACATAAAAGAGAAATACGACATAAGTCCATTTGTATAAAAGTTCAAAAAAGAAAAAAATCTATGATAATAGATGTCAGAAGCATGCTTACCTTTAGGGGAGAGGGTAATGACCAAACAAAAACAGAAGGGAGCTTCTAGGGTTTTGGTAACATTTTAGTTTTAGTTTAGTTTCTACTTATAGGACTGTGTTCACTTCCTGAAAAATGTATTGAGTTGTACACTTATCACTTGTACCCCTTCTGATATGTTATATTTCAAAATAAAAATAACTTTTGTAAAATTGCAAACTTTTGTAAACATCGGTTAACACTTATTTCTTGAATGTAATCAAATAAGAAACCCAACAAGAAGTTTCTTCTCAAAATGTATTTTATGAAGAACACTGATATATCATTTAGTTTGTTCTGAAAAGTATTACTGCACTGAAAGTTAACAAATGTTTCTTTAGAATTTCCAATACCTAAGAACTGGAGATACGATAGGGCGCACTTCTGTGACTTAAAAGGACTTTGATAGTGTATACAAGTTGTAATTTGGAATGAAATGGCAAATACTATATGCCATAGTAAGTAAGGACGCCTGGTGGCGCTGCAGGCTAGAGTATGAATGAAAGGCTCTATGGGTATCCCGGACGCCATTAAGCTGGAATCAGAACAATGAGCGCTTCCTAAAAGAAGGAAGCATTTTAGTAAGATCTAGCGGCAGTTATCTTCAGAGAGGACATCATTCTAGGGCGAGTCAGTCAGAAATATCTAAATCGAGGTTATTTAACCAAATCATCTGGGCTGATTGTATACAGAGTTGAAGAAACTGCACCTTCTTGAATTGGGTCTGAGCAATGGAGACTGCGCTAGCAAAAACACCACAGAAAAGGCAAGTTATCTTTCTTGCTATATTGTTGCTTTTGTGGGAGGCTGGCTCTGACGCAATTAGGTATTCCATGCCAGAAGAAACAGAAAGTGGCTCCTTTGTGGCCAACCTGGCAAAAGACCTGGGGCTTAGGGTGGAGGAGTTAGCTACTCGGGGCGCGCGAATCCATTACAAAGGAAACAAACAGGTCTTGCAGCTGGATGTAGAAACCGGGAATTTGCTGCTATATGGAAAACTAGACCGGGAGGTGCTGTGCGGGGCGACAGATCCCTGTATATTATATTTCCAGTTATTACTGGAAAACCCGGTGCAGTTTTTTCAGGCTGATCTGCAACTTACGGATATAAATGACCATTCCCCACAGTTCCTAGACAAGGAAATGCTCCTAAAAATCCCAGAGAATGTTCAGCCAGGGACCATATTTCCTTTGAAAATAGCTCAGGACTTGGACATAGGTATCAACACTGTGCAGAACTACACAATCAGCCCCAACTCCCATTTTCATGTTGTCACTCGTAATCGCGGAGATGGCAGAAAATACCCAGAGCTCATGCTGGACAAAGCGCTGGATCGGGAGGAGCAGTCTGAGCTCAGTTTAACCCTCACGGCGCTGGATGGTGGGACTCCGCCCAGGTCTGGGACCACTGCAGTCCACATTGAAGTCGTGGACATCAATGATAATGCTCCTCAGTTTTTACAGTCGCTCTATGAGGTACCGGTTCCCGAGAACAGCCCCCTAAACTCCTTAGTTGTTGTTGTCTCTGCCCAAGATTTAGATGCAGGAACAAATGGGAATGTAGTCTACACTCTATTCCAAGGCAATGAAGTTACTCAACCATTTGTAATAGATGAAATTACAGGAGAAATTCGTCTGAAAAAGGCATTGGATTTCGAGGCAACTCGATACTATAACGTGGAAATTGCAGGCACAGACGGCGGGGGCCTTTCAGGAAAATGCACTGTAGCTATAGAGGTTGTGGATGTGAATGACAACGCCCCTGAACTTACCATGTCGACGCTCACAAGCTCTACCCCAGAAAACTCACCAGAGACTGTAGTGGCTGTTTTCAGTGTTTCTGATCCAGACTCTGGGGACAATGGTAGGATGGTTTGCTCCATCCAGAAGGATCTCCCCTTTCTCCTGAAACCCACATTCAAGAACTTTTACACCCTAGTTACTGAGAGACCACTGGACAGAGAGAGCCAGGCCGAGTACAACATCACCATCACCGTCACTGACCTGGGGACGCCCAGGCTGAAAACCCAGCACCACCTAACGGTGACGGTGTCCGACGTCAACGACAACGCCCCGGCCTTCAGCCAAAGCGCCTACACCCTGCGGGTGCGCGAGAACAACAGCCCCGCCCTGCACATCGGCAGCGTGAGCGCCACGGA